GTAACGTAACGTAACGTAACGTAACGAACGTAACGAACTAACTACTACTACTACTACTACTACTACGTACGTACGTACGTACGTACGTAACGTACTACTACTCTCTCTCTCTCTCTCTCTCTCTCTCTCTCTCTCTCTCTCTCTCTCTCTCTCTTTGAGTCCTTTCCTAGGTAGGGTTTTACCGGAGGGAGTGAATATAAGATACGCTCCCACTGGAGCATATAATCTTTTGGTGTTTCTTCATACTGCATTGTTTTGGAATAGGTATGCCAACCACAGCGTATTTCAACCCTCCTACCTCATTATTAACAGTCAAAAGTCAAAACATATTTCAGTTTCTTAACATTCACATCCCCATGTTATCGGGTGTGTTGCTAATATTTATCCAGTGAACAAGAAAACCATGGCTCGAGTATTATTTAACACAGTCTTTCTATTACTTTTATTGATTATAAATAAGCTTCTCAATAAAAATAGAAATATATAATGCACTTTTAACGAATTTCTGTGTGGAAGTTCCCAATGCATGCAGTACATAAGTACACGACTCATCATCACTGCATCACCACGAACACTTTGGAGGCTTCAACGGCATTATATAGGTTATAACTTGAGAAACCTAGAACATTGTTTCACTCCATAAAAACAGAAAAACTCTGATCATACATAAACAGGAAACTGAATCAAGCATTGAAAAAGGCCTCAGAAAACAACAGCATTATGAATGCCGAATTCTAGGTCCATGGTTCAAAACCTGACACAATGTCCAACCTAATACAGATCCAATACAACAGAGGCTCGTTATCAATGTAGGAAAGGATGAGTAAATGCACTTCCAGTTGCAGATAGTAACTTCAAGTTAAGACATCAAAATACCACTAGAGTGAAAAATACAATTAGTATATGACCTGCTTTGTGTTCCATGTAAATGTCGACTGTAGGTCAGCTGATATGGTAAGTGTTAAACTAACCTGCACAATAAAAGAGGCAAAAAATGCAACAACAATTAACTTAATAAGCCATTCTAGCAGAACAATTTGAAAATAAATTTATAACTCTGCACTTTGAAAACCAAAACCTAGAACTTGATAAGACAACAATCATAATATATAGCCCAAAACATGCTTCAGAAGAAGACAGTAACCATACAGAAACATAGAAAGCTCATAGTGAAAAGAAATGAATCCACTGATATGTAAGGGCCTTTTGATATATATATATATATATATATATATATATATATATATATATATACTACTACTACTAGTACGACGAACGGTA